TGGGCCCTGGGTGTGCAGGGGCCTCCGTGCGGCTGAGCGGCCCTGGGGTTGTGCTGCGGGAGTTGCGGGTTTCCTTGGGCCTAGGAGCTTGGGGCTGCCGGTGCTTTTAGCAGGTTCCCACGTCTCCAGCGCTCCGTTCTGTCTCGGACCGCTGCCTCCACTCCCCCCGTCAGCTTCGTACTCCTCCGTGCCCCTGCTGTGCCCTGTTAGCGTTCAAAAACAGATTTAAAAATCTAGTGCCTCTTGCTACTTGAGTTAAAGACATTTGCTTTCAGGTTTTGAAAGGTTGAAACACAAATTAATATTGGATTTACTTCTTCGTAGAAAGGAGTGCTTTCAAGCATGACCATCACCCATCACATTGTAGATACTGACATTTGTTTTGTAAAACTTAATTTGTTATATGAGTTACCAGGGGCCACTCAGTATATTGCCTTGAAATACACTCACCCAAAACCTTTGTGTTATTTGAGCTTGATGAAAAGGATGCAGTTTTTTTGTACGGATGAAATTGCTGATATTCTCCAACTTTTTTCAACCTGCAAAGAAACTTCAAGTGCTTCAGGAAGTGTAAGGCTCTCACACGCAATGCATTGTTTCACTTACACTTCCTGAGATGCAGCTTGCCTTAACTTCAAAATGAGTTCTGTTTACCATGAAAAAGGTAAAAAAAAAAAAAAAGGGCTTCGTGCTTAGTGTCACCATACAGTGACTTCACTTAGCAAAAACTGACCCTGGTTTCATCATGTTTGAAAAGCTCTATCTTATTTCAAGATAAGGCAGCTACCTGTCATCTTAGAAGCAAGATTGCACAGAGAAAGAAGAACCAGACAAACATTTTATGGTTGTTCTGGACATGGAAAGTGAATCTTAATTTAATATGGATGTTTTCAGATGTTTCCTGTGAAAGAAAATTGATGGAAATTCCAACAGAGAGGTAGCTCAGGCAATCTTCAATTCCTTATATGATGAAGAATTCTAGTACCAGAAGTTTGCAGTTTTTCAGACAACACATAGTAGCTTGTGAAAGTGAGGTTCCATATAGGTTCCTGAAAACTGATGGAATTAAATCTGATGTAATTCCATGCTAATATAATTACTATTCATAGAATCATAGACTGTCTGGGCTGGAAGGGACCTCCAAAGGTCATCTAGTCCAACCCCGCCCCCCATAAGCAGGGACATCTCCAACTAGATCAAGCTACTCGGAGCTTCATCCAGCCTGATCTTGAATGTCTCCAGGGATGGGGCCTCCACCACCTGTCTGGGCAACCTATTCCAGTGGTCTGTCGCCTCCAGGTTGGGTCTCACCGGGGCAGAGCAGAGGGGCAGGATCACCTCTCTCCATCTGCTGGCCACGCTTCTTTTCATGCTTGAAAGTCCTCCTTTCTACAAAGAAATCAGTCCAGTATTCAATACTGGAAACAGGGATTGCAAGTCTTCAGTAAAATCTTCAGTAAAAACAGTCTGATTTTTAAAACATGTTTCCAGGTCTTTGGGTATCTTCTGTGCCCAGCATGATTAGGTCACATTCCAGTTTGCAAACAGACTTTTAAAGCTTTGCATTTCACTTAGGCATATCTTGTACTGTGTTTGGAGGTGCCAGTCAGGACTTTAAGAAATGGCATAGGTTTGGGTAAGGAACTACTAACTTAAATTTCTTTATTTGCAGAAGCCATTCATGCCATCTTGGTTTACAGCCAAAGTGTAGAAGAACTTCTGAAACGCAGAAAAGTCTGTCGAGAAGTAATTTTTAAGTATTTGGCAGCACAGAGAATTCCAGTGCCTCCTTCCTCTGAGAAACGTCTACTCATTGATCGTGTGAAGCAGTACTGGAGTGGGCAGCTCACACCAGAACCCTCAGAGTCAGAGGAAAGAAAACCAGATACAAAGGTGAATGCTGCTTTCTGAAAGACCTGGGGATGCTTACTGTTGCTTTTGCAGCATAGCCAGTGTAAATATTCTTATGTACAGCCAAAATTGGCTCTTCATCTGCACTTAGGAAGGTGCTCAGTCTAACTCTTAGTTTGGTTGTAGTTGTTTGAGTTTTTGTTTTTTTAGTTTTTTTTTTTTTTTTTTTTTAAATGATGTCATTTAAAGTTGTCTGTGCCAATGCATCACTTGCAGAGCACAGTGTTCTCTGTGCAAAGTGTGTTGTGCATTTGAACTCTAATATGTGGAGACTTTTCTGTGCTTTTAAAGTTGTATTGTAAGCTAAAATAGAGGGTGTTCGCAAATAATTCTGTGGTTTCAAGGACAACTGAAAACAGTGCTAATGGTAAAGAAGCCCTGCACAGCCCATTGTCATTTTTCAGTGTGGTGGATCTTCTTGAATTTTTGGTATAAATTGTGGATTTCCAATCATCCCTCAGCCACACCAGACACTAGTGATACTTTGATGAGGCACATCCCAGAGCAGAGAGATGCTGTCAATGACAGATTATGGGATGAAAACATCCATCAGACTGGAGTCTAAAACACTGGGGGGGAAGGGAGGGAATGAAGAGAAAACTGCCTTTTTGTAAGTGGCCTTGATCTACTTTTAGGAACACTGCAGTCATAGTAGCACTGTCTGTAAGCTGTTTTCCTTCTTACCTCTTGAAGTGAGGGTGCAGAATGAATTTTAGTGAACTTCTGTATTGTTAAAATGTAAAGTCTATAGCAGTGCCAGGTCCATGTCATTTTTTTCTCTTGATACTACTAACAGTACAGTGTAACTGAATGCATTTTGGCAATTGCAAGTTATTGTGAAGTTCAGAATTTTGGCGTTTAGCAAATCCTCACGGTGTAATGAACTTGCAGTGTTTTATTTGTCTCGGAACTTTACCGGTGGTTCCAGATAGCCTCCTTGCTCTTTCTTGTGTTGTACTTCAGAGACCTAACGGGCAACAGCCCCACCAGCTGGACTGTTAGAGCTCTGTAGCTGTGGATAACCTATTGCACTGAGCTTTCTCTCAGGGGTTAACTGATGACAATTATGATTTAGCTGAGAATTCTTTTAAAAACAATTTTTTTTGTGTGTGCATACTTTGGAGAGGAAAAAAAAAAGGCTGCTCTTGCCAAAACACTTCCCCATGGCAATGTTTTATGATTGAAGGTAAATAAATTAAACCCTCCAAAGTCCTTAAATCATGTTCATAAAGAACAAGAAATTAAATTGGTTTATTTATCACATACATCTTTCTTTGCCTTTATTTTCTCTTTGTTATTGTGGCCCTCACCATTTTGAAGAAATAGGTAACAGGAACCTATGTAACAGAATTAGAAATTAATTAGTTTGTTGTGAAACAAATACAGCATTTCTGTTTACAGCTCTTCAAATTTTTGATACTTAATACTTACTTAAAACGTATGTAGTTTAATACATGCTAGACTTCGATGTTATAAAACTTGACATTTGATTTATTTTTAAAAGTCTGTTGTCAAGTTGCAAATACTGAGAAGCCCTACAAAGTAACTGTATATTTAGTTCTTATTCAAAAAATGTCATGTTACAGTTGGAGGTCTTGTATCTTTATTTTGAGAAGTCTGGATTATTTTTAACTAAAAAATGTTACTACTGTAAGAGGAAGCAGAGGATAAACAAAGTACTTATCTTCAGATAAAATAGGCTCACAGGACTGTTACTTGAGCATCCAGTTGTTGCCTTTACAGTGACACTTCCTTTAGAAAGAAGTGTCCTCTACGCCAAATATATTTTTATAATCAACTTAAAAACCTGTTTTAAATATCTTATTGCTAAACATATTTTTTTTCTTAAATATTTGTGCTTAAATGTTGCTATTCTTCTGCACATAGACATACCAAGAGTTTAACTGCAAGGATTTTTTTTTTTTTAGCTTTGCCCACAACAGTGTCAAAAAAAAAATCTTAGCATTACTTCGTTGCAGTACATATTTAGTGATACACACTTAGAGTGCTTTGTCACCACCTTCTGATACGTTTTCACTAACATGACCTCACTGACACTTACTTTTGCTACTTACTGTGATTTTGGCTTGGCTTCAAGACTATACCCACAACTATGTTGTCAGTCTCAGCAGCCCATCATTAAACTTCAATATTATTTTGAGGTATTTCTTATCCTCGTACATGTTAGATGTATTTTGGGATTGTGTCTTTCTGTAAAACCAAAAGGGAAAAAAAGGTCACAAGGGGCTTGTTCATACTCTCTGGGGAACTAGTGGAAGATGTGTTTTGAGTAGTTTCATGCTTTTCTTTCTCTGACACATTCTTCTCTGAGGCTTCTAGACAGGACAAGGATCTTTGACTGAGCCTTTTCAAATGATTCTTTGAGGGTTCTGCTAGCAATGTGTACTTTGTCTCACTACTTAGAAAACTTCTTCAGCAGCCTCAGCGCTGAACAAAGGATTTTATGACAGTCCAAAGGAAGGGTTTTAGGACAGACTGAATGGAGTTACCTTTGTTCCCAGAGTAAGCCTCTGCTGCTATGTAAGAGTCCCTGCAGCCCTCCTATCCCTGTGTCATACTGTCTCAGGCTGTTTTAAGTGATCAGTTGTACAATTAGAAAAGTAACTTGAGATTACTCAAGACTTTTATCTATTTTGGAGGAGCAAAGGTAATATTATGGTTTTCTTTGATGTAAGCTCTTTTCCTTTTAGAAATACACTGAAGACTACAGACATCACTCATAGAAGTGACCAAGCATATTTTGGATTATTTTGATTTTCGGCAGTCTTACTTATCAGTATACCCCCATTTCCCCAACAGGAAAAACACATAAACATAACTGCTTATTTATAGGCACTTTGTAGAAAACTGTTGCACCTTAATAGGAGATTAGCATTTTGGGTTGGGTCTGTATCCTTGTTTTTCTGTAACCTTATAATACCACAGTATAAGAAGGACATTGAGGTGCTGGAGTGGGTTCAGAGAAGGGCAATGAAACTGATGAGAGGGCTGGGAAACATGCCTTATGAGGACTGGCTGAGAGAACTGGGGTTGTTCAGTCTAGAGAAGAGAGACTGAGAGGAGACCTTATTGCTCTCTACAACTAAATAAAAGGAGGTTGTAGTGAGGCTGGTGTTGATCTCTTCTCCCAAATTACTGAGGATAGGATGAGGGGAAATAACATCAAGTTGTGCCAGGGAAAATTTTGATTAGATATTAGGAAGAATGTCTTCACTGAGACACTGGAATGGGCTGCCCAGGGAGGTGGTGGAGTTGTTATCTCTGGAAGAGTTCAAAAAACGAGTAGATGTGGCACTGAGTCTATGGTGTAGTTAGGGAAATGCTGGGAGGACGGTTGGACTTGGTGATCCTCGAGGTCCTTTCCAACCATGGTGATTCTATGATTCTATAAATATAAAGGCCAGTGAAAAATTACTAACCCAGGTGCTTCTTACTCGGCAGAAATTTTGTCTCTTGGTGGGAGAATCCTGATCCTGTGGAAGTTGCTCAAAAGTCCTTCCCCTGCCCTTTTTCAGTAGAACCTTAATTTTCCTCTTTGTTTATAAATCGTAGACCAAGACAAAACTGAAGAACTATTGTAACTGCAATTCAGAGAACCTGCTCTGATTCTCTAGATAAGATAATACTGGTATTAAAAATGTATGAGGTTTTACTTTGTTGTTTTTCTTCAGGCACTCTGTCTTAAAGAAGACTTAAAATCATGTAAATACTTATTTTAAATGTTCTGTGTTGTTCTAATTGGTGATCATGCATGTTATGACTAAACAGTTCTAAGTAAAAAATGTGCTTGATTGCAGAGTTGCGGAGAGGGACAAAAGTCACCAAAAGATGACGTTCGTGATCTGGGGGAAGAATTCTGTCAATGGTTCTTCGAACTCCTGAATTCTCAGCATCCCTTTGGAGTGAAATCTGAAGAAATATGGGGACCACAGCATTTCTGGGAGAATGCCAAAATGAAGTTCTGTTACAACACGTTAGAAAAAAACACGGAAGAATATGTTGGTGCAGAAATGGTGAGCCTTCGTCTGCTCTCCCTGGTGAAAGACGAGTGGCTTCTCTTCAACCCTAATTTGCATGGCAATGGACTGAAGTGTGCTATGTCCCGGCACGGCTTAGTGCTGGTAGCAGTGGCTGGCACAGTACATAGAGACAACACTTGTTTGGGCATCTTTGAACAAATTTTTGGACTCATTAGCTGTCCTGTTAGGGAGAATACCTGGAAAATAAAAGTTGTGAATCTTAAAATAGTTGGACAGAATGCTCTGCAGCCCGGAATGCAAACTGAAAAACCCTCCGTAAAATATGAAGCAAGCCAACTGCAAGAGTTGTATGATGGGAAAGAACTGACTATGTTTTAACCTCAGACATTTCGAGCAGTTTTTTCAGATCGGAGTGAGAGGTGGGACATACAGCACTTGTAGTGCACGGCTGAACGTTAAAGTGGTTGCAGCCATGTGATGCTGTCTCTTTCTTGAGTCAGATTTGCTCTGTGACAAACTGAGATACAGAATCTAAAGTACTAAAACAGGTGATGCTTTTGGACACCTTTCCAAGAGTTTACAAGTATTTCAGAGTATTGCTTTAGATTTTGCATTGAAGGTAGGAACAGAGTTAGTTTGGTTATTCTTGCTTAAACAGTTAACAGTTACTTCTAAAAACGTGTTGGCAGCACTATGTAATGAGCTAGATGGCTTGGGGTTCACAAACTGCAGGTTGCTTCTCTTCAGGTCACCGGTTTAAACTCTTATCTGAGTTGTAACAGGAAGTCATTGCCTCTGGCTTTTTGACACTGGGATTGGTGAATGTCTAAATGGACATCTAAGACTCAAGAAAGCCATCTGCACTTCAGGAGTTTTTGGAGAGAACAGACAGAATGATGTGAACAGAGACTGCTGCAGTCACTGAACAATAGAAGTAGTTTAATGGGGCAGTGCAGGGAACTTAGTATTGTTGAAGTCTTTTTTTAGTTTGGGTTAATACCTTGCTTTCGTTTTACCTCTTGGTTCTAACTTTGAAATGAATGCAGACAAACTCTCTGTTGTTCTGCCTGTGTCCCCAAGCACACAAATTTGAGATGGTTGCCCAGGCATCCATTTCTAGCACTGATTCTCTTGGATCAAGTAGTTGATTTCATAACTTGCAGCAGCACTCTATGAGCAAAATGCTTTGATAATTATTTTTTATAGACTTGCAACAGAATTTAAAATATAGTAGTTGTTACTTTTGTATATTTTCTCAAAATAAGAATTTCGTCTATTCTAAGCTGCTGTATTATGTGGACTAGAAGTCAGTTTGTTAACACTGGGCATTTACAGGGACAGGTGATATTAAATAAATAATTCCATTGCCTGCTTAATAACTTAAATTATTGCCATTGTAGAATTTGAAGTTTTTACCTTTTTTTTTTTAATTTATAAGACATTAGAGGTGAAACAAGATGACAACTTCTTTTTCTGCATCTTGCTTGTGTTGTTTGTGAGTTTTGTTTTAATTTCATAGCTTCACCAATAAACGTGAAAATGGTTCATGGTAACACAGGAACAGTTCATTTGGTTTTGATATGTTGGTCAAAGATGACAAATGGTAAAGTTTAGGGTGGGTGAGGGGAAACAAGAAGATCCAGGTAAACACAGAACTGATATTCAGAAACAGTCTTAATCTTGAGCTATCTTCAAATTCCTAAAATGATTTTTAAGCAAAAGTTCAAATAACACATTGGAATGTGCTTTTCCCAATAAACAGTTGAGTTGTGGCTTCTTCAGCTGCTGATGTTTACGTAAAAATCAACCTGAATTTAAAATGCAGAAGAAACAGTTCCCTCACATTTCCATCTCCAGATGTAAATGGGTGCCTTTGCAGCATGCACTATCACAGTCTGTAAATCAACTAAATATTTTGTTGCCCGCAGAACAGTCCCAGGTAACTGGCAATGTAGCTGTTACTTTCGGTTTGTGTTAAACAGGAGCAGGACTAAGGGGAGTGGCGTTAATTCAAGCGATGTGGGCGGTCCCCTTCCTCCACTCCTGCCCTGTCCTTGTGTCCTTGCTTCCTCCCTGGCTGACTGTGGCTTGTTGCTGGCTGGGCTGCCTGTGCTTGCTCTGGCAGGAGGAGCGGGGAGGAATCTCGCTCCAGTGAAAATGCACTGATCAGCTCTGTGAGAAGGCCACACAAGTGCTACTGTCAGCTTGAGGAACAGAGGTGAGAATTTGCTTTTTTGGGCGACAACCTGGATTTCTGTGGGACTAAGCAAGTGATCAAATAGCAGTTTTTGTTAATTCTTACATTGCAAATGTTTGTGCTTGAGAACTTCAAAATACTGAATACAAGGACTGTTCTGGTAAATCAGCTTTATACTAAGGCTCATACCTAATGAATTTGTACTCCTCCAGTTCTACACAAAGTATGCAAAAAAGCGTTAAATTGTCACAGCCTCGTGACCTCTGTGCAAATCCCTATTTCCTTGGGGAGTGGAGTAGGTGCTCTATGATTTACCAATGGCCTTTTGCTGCTCTTGCACTCTTGATCAGGCTGTTAAAAATCTACATACATTAGTACATGCTCATTAGTAGCTGAATGAGAACTTCATTCTTGCAGCAGCTAATTTTGACACATGCTTATGGCTTCAGATCATAGAATCCTTTAGGTTGGAAAAGAGCTTTAAGATCATCAAGTCCAACCATTAAGCCAACACTACTAAGTCTTCTGCCAAACCAGATCAGAATCTGTCAGGGTTGGAAGGGACCACAAGGGTCACCCAGTTCCAACCCCTCTGCCATGAGCAGGGACACCTCCCACTAGGTCAGGCTGTCCAGAGCCTCGTCCAGCCTGGCCTCAAAGACCCCCAGGGATGGACCCTCAACCACCTCCCTGGTGGGGAGTCCTGTCATTACCCGATAGCCTAA